ATAGTACATTAAAAATATTTTAATGGGTCGAATGTGAGTCTAAATACTGTCGTTGTATCTGTATCCGCCACATAAGATTGTAATTTATTGCAATTAATGTCTACCCCGACGATAAAAGAATTTTCAAAAAAATTATTATAAATTAATAACATTTTTTGCAAAGAGAAAAGCCGCAGCCATGACTGTGGCAAATGTGGTATTAATACTTAGGTAGAGTGATGGTGTGCACCGGATTTCCAGCTTTTGACCATCTCATCGCTCTGTTAATTTAAGTTACATATACCACTATGGCGGTCTTTTTGGTTCTTCTGACCATTCCTCGTTTGCGTCATCTACTGTAATTGCTACTTTGCTACTCTCTAGCGTCCAAGGCTCTGATTTGAGCCGGCACAAGTGATGTTTCCGCCTATGTCCCATATTATTCGTTTTTCGTCTGTCTCTGCATAGTCGATTTGATTCAAACACTTTCAGTCTGAACTTTTTCATGTCCACCATCACTTTGGGGCTTTCTGGAAAATGGCTTCAAGACGAGACTTCAATGCTTTCGGCGAAAATTGCCTAGCGTCCCTCCCCCCCAGATTCAATTCCTTCGCTTCTTCTGTTTTTGCCAATTAAGGTTTCAATATCGTATATACATATTTTTCTACAATAGTGAGATATCCACAAAGATAAGCATTAAACCGTGTCTTACGAATGGTTTTGACAAAGGGGAACTCTGCAAAGCGAACTTAGAACTATTGCACTGCCGACGTAGTTCCACCGACTGAACGTTAGAGAATTGAGGGACTTAACTCAAAAGTGATTGACAACTCGAATTAATACCGATCTCTTTGGCGTGGACCTGCTATATAACTGTCCTTCACAAAAATTGTCGGTGCTTCCGTCTCCACGCTTAACAGTGCGTGATCGTAAATAAAGAACGATTAGCCAAGAGTAGGACAAGATTTAGACCACACGGAGCATGTTTCAGAATCTGTTAACTTTGTTCATAAGTCAGGAATATTCAAAAAATCTACTGAAGACTCCAATTCCAAAAGTAAAGGAGGCTGCAGATATTTGCAATCGATTATGCAAAAGCATTAAAGGATCCAAATGGAGTGATTTAACGAAGTGAACCATCAGAAATAAATTCCAAAACAGATTGTGAATAATATGCGATTATGAGTAATATCATGAAATAATAGACAAAAAATACTCATCAGGTTTATTAAAGCCCATATAATTGTATGAGATTACAGTCCCACTTACGTCCAAACGCCTATGTTCACATGAAGGTAAGAGCAGATCGTAGGGCATGGCTGATATGACAACCACAATTTGAATATTATGGATTACATGCCGAGGAGTTCGAGCGAAAAATGACGAAGCGAAGATCACTGTACGAGTGCCATCGGCTTAGACAAGAGAATAACAGTAATGAATCAGCCGAGCAGGTATATGGGAGGTGGAATCTGCATGTGAGGAAAATTCACGAGCATTGGTGTATACCTCAAGAGACCGGAGGACAGACCAGATACAAAATGGATGCCGATGATGAACCACACTGGGACAGGATAAAACTGCTTGTGCGCCGTAATGGCTTTTGTTAGGGTGATGGAGGAGTGGACGAAAGTAACGTCAAAAGCAGCCCAGTCGCCATGATGTTGGTGCCAGGAAGAAATGCAATCATACGAGGTAAAAAAGGTTTATCGCTGATCTTACGGCGTTTCAGTTCTTCACGTTTCTCAACGGATAGTCGTTAAATCTGGTTGGCACTGTGCCATGACCGTTGCTAGTCGCCGACTCACTTCGCAGTCATGTGGAACATGTACTTTCCCTCATTTTCATAAACATGTTTTTGCCTCTTTTCGTTCGCGGTATAGGACTTCGCCACTCATTTCATCTTTCAGCTGGAGCTGGTGATCGTATCTCGCTTTGTAATCCTGTATTGAACTGCCGAGGTCGCTCAAACGGTAGGATCGTCAGGTAGAAGTTAGATGAGTATTTCAGATCGGTTAAAACTGTCACTCCGCTTTATTGAAATTTGTTCTCAAATTCAAAAAGGTAATACACGAGTTGTTATGTCCACTAATTACCATTTTCGCCGACAACAAACCCCTCCATTGGTGGCTTAATTCGGAGCACTGACCTGAGGGATAAAATGCGGTCAGGTAGAATCGGCAAATGTGGCAAATGTTGCGGAGTTGCATCTTTATCGTACGTTACGTTTTCAACTCATTTTCGGGAGGTAGCATGAAGTCGTTGTGTTTATTGCCATCAATCTTTCCGCTTTCGCAGTCCTATTTGGTCTCTTTTATTGGTTGTGATATCTTACATGTTGTGTCGCCGGTCATCTTTTAACCCTCCACTTTTTGACTCTGAAAAACTCGAGCAAGTATAAATGATCAGCTGCACATATTATGATGAAGAACCAACTTTGGTCATCGCTAAAGTTTGACTCTTTCCGAATGTTGTATAGTTTTGCGGAGGTATTCCACTCGACCTTCAATTCATTAGCGGTTAAGTGAAACGTCGCCATGACGTGATCACTGTTTAATTGATTACTTTATTGGATATTAAACAAATACCTGTAGAATGGTCTTTTTCTTCCCTATATTTGCAAAATATTATTATATTTAATATCTTGAGTCACAACCTGCTCTCGCTCTGTTCCTCAGTAATGAAACAGCGCTTTGACTTAGAATTAAGAAAAGACTTCATTAAGAAAAGCACTGATAACAAAGAAATGACCCCTTAGAACTGGAATTAACATTTTCCACTGCGTTTAATTGCAGCAATGTTCAGGGAGTAGTAAATTGTAACTGAGTGCTTTGCTTCAGCGTTCAAACTTTGGCAAGACTCAA